TTTAAAAACTCCTCTTGAGTCAAACCAAACAGAATCAGAGAAAGCCCACTGTCTATAAGAAAAGTAAGAGTTAGCTCTAACCAAGGACTGAGACTTACGTGAGATTTTGAATTACTTACTACTTCAGCACTATGGTTACAAATAAATTTACGGCACACCATACACTATTAGGACTTTAATTCATTGCCGTTTTTCAATGTTTTTAAAGAAAAGGTTTAATTTGTAAACACTGAACACAAGGCAATCCCTAAGAACGACACATCCTATGAAACAACACTAAACCACACAGTTCTGTTTTGTATTGTCTTGTACATTCAATACCTGGATTTTTAAAATATTTGTAGAAAACTTGATTCCTGTGACAAGAGCATGCTTGTGATCTAAAGAAATACATGATTGTCAATATGTAGATACTGAAACAGCAGCACACACAGTTAAGTGCAATCACAACCTTCAATACCTGTGTTGAACATTATGACATAAATGTGAAATAAAGGCCTATCTGATATATGTCAAACCCCAGTGCCCACAGAGGTCAATAGGTGATAAGCAAAGTAAAGAGAAAACCTGACTGGAAAGAAATGGTCATCTAAAAGGAACAACTGGCACCCAAGTCCAACCATTGAAGTACTAGAGCTGCCAGAACTAAAAAAGGTTCAGTAATGGCTGCAAATCTACACTCGTATGTGAAATTCTTTAACTGTATGTTTATAATGAAGCAAGTCTTTACAAAATGTGTTAAATGGGCCTGGGTCGTAGAAGCCAAACAAATAAGCCTGCAGTTCAGCCGTGGACCACGAATAGTCTGTCTGTAACTTCTGTTTGCAACAAACTGAAATCAAATGAAGACTCTCTAGGCTGGGAGCAACTCTTAATACTCTTGTTTTTTTGGTTTTTTTTATCTAGTAGCTTTGCATTTAGTAGAACAGAATAAATCTCATTAAAAACTAAACATGAGAACCAAGAGTCACGTCCCACGCTTCCTCAACAAGAGACTGCAGCTTAAAGGAAACCATGGGCACCAGCACCACTGGGGCAGCAGAGGTCAATCCAGTGAAAGCTGTAGGAGCCTTGCTCTTCTGGGTCTCACACTTTCCTGCCTTTGACAATGTCTGGCCTTACCACTGTTCTAGCACATGTTAGTGGAAACATGTCTGAGTGTTCCTTCGCTGACAGGATCCCATCTATCACCGGGTTGTCTTTCACAGATTTTACGGTACATTCAGAAAGCACACGCTCAGCGATGGCTTTCAGTAAGACACAAGGCATTCTCACCTGTCAAAACAAGGCACAGTTGCTGCTCTCCAGTACTCTCCACAGGGATACATCTCCGGCCAATGGG